CGTATATTTCTTGTATTCGGCTGTACAGAATCAATCGTGCGACTCTACATTCGTATACTTTTTATTTAATAAGATAAATTGCATTTCTACATCTTTTTAAACATACTTTAGAATACTGGTTGTAAGAGAAAATTATTTGATATTTGTGACTTTGCGTAATAAAATAATTATGGTTAGAAGCTCCATTTATATTATAGTTATAAAAAATATACATACACTTAAAAAAATAATTTCAAAAAAATATTTCTTTATTCGTATTCAAAAAAATTATTTCTTTGGATTGATGAAAATTTATTTGAAAATAAGATATTGCAATATCTTATTTTCAAAGAAATTTTCGTTGATCCAAAGAAATAATTTTTTTTTAATACGAACAAAGAAATATTTCTTTAAAATTAAAAATTTTTTTTTTAGTGTGGTTGACATCGAAAATAACTATAAATTATAATTAATTAATGTAATTGCAATCATTTTTTCCTCTAAATATATATTAATATGTCAATAATTAAAGAAAAAGAGAGAAAAGAGAAAGTGTTAAATTTATATATTATATATATATTTTTATTTTTTATATAATATAATATCTATTTAAAACTCTTACTCAATATTATACACCAGGGAGGGCTCTTGAAACGTTTCCTTGTCTATCTGATAACGATTATCTTTGATTTTAATTCTTGTGGAGATTGCACGACTCTCGATACTCTCTGACTCTGTAGATTCCCTCGCACGCAATCGTTACATCGTAATTAACGAAGACGTCGTCGCACTCGCCGAGACGGATTCGCAAGGAGCGTGCAACTGCGTCGCGCCGTCGCATGCGATTCGCGACAAATTGCGACCCACTCGAGGTTCGTCGACCGGAAAGTTGAAGCTAATTAACAAGAGCACTTGTCCTCCGCTTATGTCGATAATACGCCAGTTAGAGACTAGAGGATGATTACGCGTCACGACAAACGGCGGCCACGAGGCGACGCGGAAGCTGTTAAGACTCCGTGACAATCGCTGCATCGAAGGTTGCAGAAATGCGAACACCCCGATTAAAGCGGGAGGTTTCAGATTTTCACGCTGAAATTGTACGAGTGCATGAACGTCGCGTCGCGTTTTAATCCGATAAAGCCGCAATCAGAATTTTTTGCTTTTATTGCATTCTCAGAAATCGGTTCTAAAATATAAGATAAATAATCCCGTTTGATGAAAAAAACTAAGATAATATATATCACTAATAGATATCATTGCAAATAATAATTTAATATTTATATTGATAGTTAAGTAAAAAATAATTTGTTTTTCATGGAAATTGATCTAATTAATTATATTATGAAGAATGCGTCAAGTCACATTTTAAATTGTCACAATTTATTATAAATTAGTAAGATGCATACACACACACATTCTTTTTGTATTTTTATATGTAATGTTTATGTTGCTTTCTAACATATTTTTTTTGTGTTAACACAAAAACTTTGGCTGTTTAAAACACGTGAAATGTATTAAATTTAATACAAATTTTCTAACTATGTACTTTAATTTTTTACAGTTCGACATACATGTCGAGTTGACGTGTAGACTAGACGTAACACATTGTGGTAGTCTATCGCACAATTCTTTAAGTATACGAATTTGTTCGCGATTGTAATCAGCAAATTGAATACTTAATTTTTAAACCGTATAGTTTTAAAATATTGAAACAGAAAAACTTGAAAAAATAAATTTTTTTTTAATTGAAAATAATTCAAGATGTATATTTAAAAACTAAAATATGGTTCAATTAAGCACTTGTTTAAAAATTCTCAAAATTATATTTGTGAAATAACAATTATAATAGCATAAACTGTTTAATTTTTCATAATTATGATTAACGCTAATTAAAAGAAGATCATGCTCTCTTTCCATTCTACGCTACCCTTAAACCGTTAACGAGCAAAGTCTGAAAGACTCATGTCACAACACTGTCATGTAATTCGATCGCAAATCTGTGAAAAAAAAAGAGAGAAAAGAGGGGGAGCGATATAATAAAGAAATTTGAGAAATTCGTGTTTCTTAGTGATTATCGATTGATTACCGCGACAATTCGCGATCCGAAGTGGCTTTCGCACTGCGAGACGCTATCCTGGATGTGTTGTCGTGCGATTGGCGAGAAATATCCAGAGAATAATCCGCCTCGAAAATGAGAGCGTTACTCGCGCGAGAGCAGGGAATATAGAAGCAGAGAAGAGGGAACGCCGAGATATGGTTGGCGCCGCAAATCCCGGAGAAAAACTTGCACCGACCCCGGACAAAACTCGCAAACAGCCGCGAACGCGATTACAACTTCCTCGTCGCGGAACTAATTGCGCTGCAGGATGGGAGAAACAAAGTTGACCCTTTGTTTTGCATGCTAAGAGCATTTGAACGAACGAATCATTCCCGCCGCCGGCGCTGAGGACGCCTAGCGTCGCTTGAAGGAGAGGAAAAAGGGGAAGAAGAGTGAAAATCTCTCTTTATCAGGGGTGAGGAATCGAACAAACAGTTTTAACTATCGAACAAATCACTGTTTACTGATAACGAATTTCAATGCGAGCAAATAGCGCGCCGTTTTCGAAATAAGGCGACGACGGCGACGATGATGTCGGTTTCCATCTCGGCCGACCGGGTTTTATCGGTGTCATATTATACCGGGCGCATGAAAACAAATCTTTAATTTCCCGCAACTTTCCGTGCATATTTAAGAAACATCGAATAAAGGAAACAAGGTGCTCTCTCCCGATTGAAGGCGTTATTTTAGTCGTAATACAACTTCATTTCTCTTGGCGTTTCAGAACGAAGTTGCGAACTTACGGAAGTGGGAGGAATCCAAAGAGCAGAATTTTTTTCCAAAGAACCGATGTCTATTCAACAGACGTACTTATATTTCAAGGATTCTTTTTTTTTCTTCCGCTATTCTTTCTCGTACAGTTTCATTTTTCCCAAAAGGAGGAAGCGCTCCGAAGTGTTTCCTCTCTTTACACAGACATACACAGATATTGAAATAGCATGCTTGGAATGATTATTACTATGGTTGCCACCTTCCTGCTGGAGATCCTACTATCTTACTACATCGATTGCCTGTCAAAATTGTATATTGGAAAAAATGAAAGTCTTAATAATTTTCTTTTTTTAAAGAACGCACTGTAAGATACAATTTTTATGGGCGATTGATCTCCGGCAAAATAGTGGGATCTCAACCGTAGTTATTACGTTCCTTTAATACTATTCAGGAATATAACATCAATTTTGGCGGTCATTTACGAAGTTCAATTGATACAATTTATGGTCGCCGCGCGTGCGACGCTTTGCCATCACGTGGCCACGTTCCAATCAATTTAACAAATACACGTCGATGTGTCAATCAATTTGAGGACGGTAAAGCTTCTACGAATCAACCATCACACACGTATTTAATCAGATGAGAGTCGGAAAGAGAACGAAAGAGATAGAGAGAGATAGAGATAGAGAGAGATAGAGATAGAGAGAGAGAGAGAGAGAGAGAGAGAGAGAGAGAGAGAGAGAGAGAGAGAGAGAGAGAGAGAGAAAGAGAGAGAGAAGGGGGAGGGGAGGGGATGGTGAGAAAGAGAAAGAGAAAAGAGAGGAACGAAGAGAAAGAGAAGGAAATGGATACAGAAAAGAGCATGCATGAGCTGATGAACCATCAGGCGACCGTATTAATTAAACAAATTTATTAGCTCGGTGGTTTGGTTTACAATTAGAGGCTTGTCGATGGTATCATACTTCCGAGTCAACTTCAACAGTGACGTGTTGAAAATTGTCGATGGCTGGCAAGCTCATCAGAGCGATGAAATTTATTACCCGTCTACAATCCTGGTGATAGCGATATACCACCTTGCGATTATTAAACTGACATAAACTGACTCTAAAAGTTGCTATCGGAAACACGGTATGATATTGGACCTGAATCAGCTACATTGCTGCATTGAATTAGCTACATCGCTGCATTGATAAAAAAAATGACAAATAACAAAATGTGCACTTGTGAGAAAATGAAAGGAAATTAAAAGTTGTTTTATTTTTTTACAATTAATTTCAGGGCGTATTTAGAGATTAATATGGTCAAAATTTGTTGAATGATTCCGAATAAGAAAACTACTTCTCTTCCGAAGTTAGTTTGTATACAAATTGACAAAAGAAATTCAATCAGATTCTTACATATTTTTTTTTTACTATAGAATGCTATCTTTATATTTAAAATTTATATATACGATAGCATTTTTTAAGATTGGTAAAATTTTGCCAAGCACAGTTTTTTTTATTTTTTTTTATCGAAGATCCTCTCCTTCCCATAAAAGCATCTTTATAATAACGAGTAATACATATTTCATAACAAACAATTAACATAAAAATAACAATAACTACTATTTTCCTTGGGTTTGTCTCAGATAATTGCGACGAGAGAAACTCACCCGCTGTGGTCACATTTTTTGCAATATTTGCTCCTCATATCCCACAGAAATTTCGACCGTAAGATTATCCGAAGAAAGAGAATGCGTGACTCGAAAACGAGTGGATTGTTGAACAAGAAATGTCACGTGGAATTGAGAACTTACGCAAAATGCGTAGGAAGAAGTTAGAAGCTATTACTTTTCTTATATAAGTTACATTCTTTATGCCAGAGAGCAAGCTGATGCTATTTATCATTATTTTGATGTCACAATGATATCTTTAATATTGTTTTGATGTCAAAATGATGATCAATGTCAGCTTGCTATTGTATAATGATTTGATAAATATATAATATTTTGTAGCCCGACTTTTGTCACCTAATAATTTATAGAATTTGCATTAGTATATTCATTATTTTAATTAAAAGGTTGTTCCAATTAAGAATTAAAATAAATGTTCTATCGAAAAATTGTTAATTTTAAAATATGCCGCGTCCAATAATTGCAAAAGTAAAGTCTTAGCTCAAGAGGGATCACACAACTATCTACGCCTAGAATCCCGATAGAATAATGATTGACGATTCACCGGAGGGAGAATTCGATCATCGCCACTCTGCCATCACGATGAAGCGTTTCAAGTCCCTCATCTCGATCAACCGATTCTCAGAACATCTTGAGTTCTAAATCCTCGGATTATCGTTCATCGAAAAGATACTCGAACTCAATTGATCGATATTGAGTCGCCGCGAACGAATGTGAGCCACTTTTTCGTGCGACAGTATAGTCTGTCGATTTTATTCCCGGTTTGAGATTTTACGCTGGAGTTTCGTTATTCTCTCCCGGTCTTGTCCTTCTGCACAAGAGTATCAATCGGGAATTCTCCGTCCGGCATTCCATCTGCTCGTAAAATCGCGGAATACGTATGTCGTCTTGCAGTGAAAGACATCTGCTATGTATCGGACATTTATGCCGAATATAAATTCGAAAAGAGGATACAATTTTTTTCACGATCGTACAAGGATCATTTTATTTCTAGATTTTCTTACGTATTTTCTTCATAAAATCCGAAATTATAATAATGGTATTCAAGGAAAATTGGTGTATTAAAACAAAGAATAAAGAATAAAATTCTTATTCATACTGTTACGAAATCGCTTTTAGTTAAATTATTTAAAAACTAATTCAAAGTTATTGAAAGTGTTCAGAATCGTTAATCCAAAATAATATAATCACATATCATTCAAAAGAAATATAATAATATGATATAATCACATTATATATGTTATCACTCAGATATGTATGTGTTAAAAATTTAACACAAAAGTGAAATTTTAATAAGGAGTTTTAATAACCGATTTTAACACAAGTATATAAAATGTTTTTTTTTACTGCATTTCAATTTTTCAATCAATTCTTGTGGAAAAAATTATAATAAAGTCATTCCATTCAAAGATTCTGTAAGAAATATCTCCGACTTTGGATTCCACCCAAAAAAATCGAGGAATTCTAATTTTCATTACAAAAATACGATTGTTCAAGAGTTCCAACTGGCGCGGAGAAATTTTAGTAAATTTTGTTTTTAATTAGCTTCACAAGGTCGGCACGTTCCGGGAATTTCTTATTAGATCTGCTTAGAGAGCTCCGAGTAATTATCCTCAATGGTGGCTAAAACGTGATTACGTGCTTTCACGACGACGAATGTTTTTTGTGCTAGTAAAAGGCGTCTAGGGAACCCTGACTTTGCAAGAGAAGACAATTTCGCGCACCAGTTGCGCAATGCTAACAACAGTTGTCGCTACTCACTGATAAGATATGTGGCATGTCATTTATAGAATTGGAATTAAATAATTTTGATAAGTTAAATATTAAAATTTTTAAAGAATGAGGGAATGCAATCGTAACTCTGCAAAAGTAGATGACTTTGATGATTGATAGGAATTTATTTTATTTAAAACATGTATTCTATTGTTAAAAAATCAATTGACTTTAAAATTTCTTTCTTGAAGCTTTTTATAATATACCAATATTATTCAAACTTCATAGGAAATTAAAGATTTTAAATCTTTAATCAAAATTAAAAAATAAATATATTCCTTTTCTCATTCTATTCCATATTTGGTATTTAATTAAATTGTTAATATTCGGAGAGAGAAAGAAAGAAAGAAAGAAATAGAGAAATATAAAGAAATAACTTGGAATGATAAACCAGATGAATAAAATGACAGAAATTTATTTAAAGAATCATGTTACTTTATAAGCAAAATTAGAACTAATATTGCTTATAAAGTAACATGGTTCTTGGTCATTGACATTTTTGTTGCATTTAGGCTCTTCATGAATATCCTTAATGCATTAATACGTCACATTGAGCGGAAATATTAAAACCCTACGTCAAGCATCCTGAATCAACCCTTATTACTTTCTTGCCTTTTTTCAGTACGAACACGATGTGTTATACTTAAAAAGTCAACTAAAATAAACAACGCTAAGAATTTATGCCTTTTTTTCTTTCTTTCTTTCTTAATTCTTCCTACTTCCCTATTTTTTCTTTCTCGACCATAAATACTGTCAGTGACGTTTGTCAAAGATCGAAATGTAGTACATGATGACGCATTCGTGTACGTAGAACTGAGTGGAATTCATTCACGTCACGTCGCACCCACCAACATTTTTAATTTAAGTTCGACGCAAGAATCAAATGGAGAGAAAAAGAATTTTTTCCGCTGCTCGAGTCGTGGCCGGATTCTGAATAAGCCGTAAACGCGGAGTCCGGCACGAAGGCAACAATAAGGGAATAGACGGGGAACGGAAGAGGGTTGGAGCACCTCGTAAAATTGTCCGATGCATAAGTTGCAGCGTGAAGCTACGATTAAATCGTCTCGCTGCCCGCAATAATAATAATTATGCTCTCGGCGGGGCACGTTGTCGCGATAAAAAAGGGACATTATTGAGCGGTGACCTCGACTTTATTAGCTTATCGTTCGTTCTCGCTATTATACCGCTATTGTATGTACATATGTGCACAAGCACAGACCACCTTGCCCGAGTTGTATTTTCCGAAAGATCGAAAAGCACGCGGAATATATATTGTGATGATAATAACTGAAAGCCATGATCAATGAAACCGGGTATGGTGATATTGGCTTCCATGCCATGTCACTGTCAGCGCGTGCATGCTCTTACATAAGTCTATACATTCGTTCGCATTAACCCTCTGAGGCTGACGGTGGGTTTATTGCAGGACAAAATACTAAAATTTGGCACGAGAATGAGTTCAATAGATTCTATTGGATTCATTTAGTTATACTTTATCAAAAATGACAAACAATTACTTCTGTCAAACAATTAATTATTGCCGCTATATTGTATGCCAGCACGCCACGTCGAAGATTGGTCAATTATTATGTTTGTGTATCTATTAAATATTTAGACAATAAAAGTATAAAAATAAAATTTTTTGTTATATTAATCGATTATTAATGATATTAATATTTGATTAAAATTATTTCATTAAACATTTGATAGTTGTTACCAGACTCTTTTTTCAGTGTACTGATAACAAATTTAACAATAATAATGAACCTTAGATGATAATAATAATGATAATTACTAAATATGCTTCGGTAAAATAATTTCAATTTATTGTTTAATTAATATAATAAAAAAATTTGATAACTTTTATTAAACAGTTTAACCATGATTTAAAAATTGGTAACAAAAATAGCAACAATTTGGCAATAATTTAAAATTATATTTAAGCCGATATATTCATAATAAGTTCTCTCTTATTATGTTTAAAACTTAAGTATAGTCTCGAGATATTATAAACCAACCCCTCAAACCAGTATTTATAGTTGAATCCTATATTTAAGACCATCTTAAGTACAATCTTAAAATATCATGAATCAATCAAAGAGTCGTATTAGCATCTTAAGACCTTAAGACGATCTTAAAATAAGAACAGACTATGAATACCGCCGTATAGAGCCGTATTAGCAGCTTAAGGTATTATTTAAGACAGTCTTAAGATAAGAACGGACTATGAATACTGGCATCAGAAAAAAGTGACAGCAAAGATATACAAGTTTCATATAATAAAGATATATACATTATTTATTTTGAAGAAAAATCGCGCCATAACCGAATCTAATTTTACGCTTAATCATCGATGCAATGCACGTTTCTCTTTTAATTACCACTATGCATATTTTTACACGCAAATCTCCTTTACGATAAATATTCGCACTAACGCAGAATGCACCGGCGCGAATATTTGAACGCGTGCGACCTGCCGCGTTGAAAGTGTCGCGTTTTAATTTACGTCATATATTCGCTCGTCCGCTACATGATACAATCGTGGAGTGCGGAGGGGTGTAATCCTTTAAATATTTTATATTGGCTAAAATATTAATTTCAAGCCGGCGCGACCGTTCGTAACGCACGTGAGAGCTAATTAAATTCCGCGCCGTGCCTGAATATTTTCAACGAGATTTGTTCTATTTGTTAAAACTGTGATGAAACACAGGGCATTTTATTGCCGAATTAATCTGTTTAAATAGAAACGAAATGACCGTCTTTGATAATGGAATCGTTTCTACGAGAATATTTACGAGGCAGGAGATAAATAATCGTTCCATATACTTATTCAAAACAAAGTAGTATAAAGAATCATATTATAATAACTAAACGGTTGTCTCGCAATTTTTCAAGACTTATCTTCAATTAGCTTAGTTAAGAAATGATAAAAAAAAAAACATGCACTAATAAATTAACGTTAGCTCCTTCTGACAGCTCGCTAATTAATGTAATTGATAGGCCATTATCTTCATTCATCAATTAGAACGAAATGCTTAACATGCATCCTCTGCGGCAAATTGCATTGCTTTGCCTGCCATATACAACGTGCACATTGTGTACGCCGATCAAAAACACGTGCCGCATTCTAGCCGTTTCGATTTGACAATAATGATACCATAATTACCTCGCGATACATGTCGGTTGCATTGTAGCATCTCTCGCGATTGAATCGCACGCGCAATTTGCGGAAAGGGGGGAGGGAAACGATTTCTCGCGTACTCTCGTTTTTCTCTCCTGGAGCCCTTTTCCTTTTTTTTCTCCTCCCACGATTGCGGGATAGGCGACAGGTTCTGTCGCTTCCCCGGGATACTCGTCGAACGCACGAGAGCTCCTTCGAGCGCGTCGCGGCGCCAACTGGAGAATTTTCGCGAGTTCACGAGTCGGGAACGGCTACGACCAGCCCGACGCATGCGTCGCACTTCAGCTACGGAGGTTCACAAGAAATACGGTATAAAAGAAAAGAAAGAAGGAAACAAGGATAATACTCCTGGTGATACTAGGGAAACGCTTCACGATGTCGTCGAGCACACAGAAGTGCTCCGGAGAATCGTAAGATCGGATGACGCCGAATGAAGGTAAAGTATCAGATACGTGTTCCCTCTCGTTGAGATACGATAACGTCAAGGTGGTTAAATCAGTTCGAATTTATCTCAATGATGACAAACGAATGATGGCGACGAGGTAGAATTAATGAGATGACGGTACGAAGTGTTGGTAACGAGAGTTGGTAACGACGTTAATCACGAGGCGAGTTGTATAAATATACTAAACCTTAATCTAATCGTGTTGTCCGCACTTGCTCGTCCACGACGAGAGCTCTTTATCTGATATTCATACACTCGGCGCCACCGCCTGGCGTGGCAAGCACTTGGGAGTGCCTCACATCACGAAGTACGCATGGTGGATAAACTCACGAAATAGTATGTGAGACTATAATTAGATTTCATCTAAATAGAGTTTTGTTATGCAGAATGCATTGCAACATCATAGTTGATGTCGATCCGCGTGGTTGTATCCTAAATTATCAATCTGTAGTTTAAATACACAGCAAAAACACTTTGTGTTAAAATCGTGTTAAAATTTGAATTATTTATTATTAAATTTATTATTATTGTGTTGAATTTTTATTATATCTGAGTGTTAATTCAGAGAGAAGATTAAAGGCCGTTTTTATCTTTTTTAGGCGGTCCGTATATAAAAGTAGAAAAGTGATAGCGAATTCGGTTGGCAGTGATGCACATTAAAACCATTATGCATTGATTTAATTTGAGTGGAAAAGTGAAATATAAATATTTTAAATATTTAAAAATATGTATTTTCGCTCAATACAATAAAGAGTGTTGAAAATTTTACGGTTTAACCGGTTTATTTATATTAAACACATATTTTTACGCCAATCTGTGTATGACGGTTTTAATTCCAGTGTACACCGAGTACATCCAATCGAATTGATATAAAATAATCGAAAATTGAATATTGTATAAGATATTTTATTTGTTTCAAAATAAGATATATAGAAATAAGATATATAGAAATTTCAAGTTACGCCTCCAAGGTATATTTCAAACATCTCAAGCATTTTTCTCATCCTCCACGTAAAATGTAAACAATAATTTATCTCTGAAATTAATACGTCAAAATTGTGTATTCTCTGAGTGTAAGGAAACTCATTTTGTTTAAAAATCTCGGAACTTCATCGATCTGTATCATTTCGCGCACAGGACATCCTTTGATAAAAACTTTAGGCATCGTATGGACTCTAAAAATCGAGTTGATACAATCTAATTTTAATTGCACAACATGAGGATAACTTTTACAATTAGAGATGGGAAGAGAGAGACGAAGATGTTCATCTAGACTACCTGGACGGCTAAGACGCCATTACCCACGATGCGTGAAGGATTTAGATTTATAGCTCGTAACCACCTTCGCTCAACGACGCAGACAGACTATGAAGAAGACGCCGTCCTGAATCGACACGGTAAATTGCGTACTGGCGACTTCCACGAACGGATCCTTCGATGATCCACCGTCGAACTTTTCGCGTTCCGAATCGCGTTCTACAAAAGAGTCAGTTACCTTGATAGCTTGATCAACTAATCCCAGGTTTCTAACTTGGAATATTAAGTAACTAATTCCAGTTATTTCGCGTCCCTTTCTAAGTCGTGGCTCTAACTGACATAGATGAAGAAAGTTGGAAATAAGATAATAAAGAGGAGAGAAGATAGTGGCGCGTTTATATTTCTGGCACCCCTAGACAATCCATTTGTAAACTCTCGAGATATTCATGACTCATATTATCTCTTCAAATTTTTTTACAATTTTTTTTTAATGCAAATTTAACGCAGATTGGAAAGTTGTTTGAAAAATGCGCTATTAAAAAGGGGAATGTTTCTTAACTTAAAATCTAAGTTGACATATTTATATTGATTTTCGAATTTTCATTAATTTCTTGCATTTTATAAATCTTAGATTTATTCAACTCAAAAAACATGTAACATTTAATCATAATTTGTAGAAATAGGTTAAGAAAAAATTTGGTAATGATGATAATACAACTGAAATGCTAAAAATAATAATGTTAGATATTTTAACTTATATGTGTCACATTTAAAAAATTTATCAAAATTATTACACGTTGTAACAGTTGTAGCAAAAATCTTGTGTATTTCGCACGAAAAAATTTTCGAGAATGGCGTATAGGACTACTTTAACCAAAATGGAGTGAATTGTGTGCACTCGATCCACGGGGAGTAGATTATAAGAACCCGCGTGCCTCGGTATGGGGTCAACGATATTGACATACCCTTATGTGAGTTTCCTTTTACATCTTACTAGGTTAGTGCGACTTCAAAATTTTATTAAACGCATGAAGAATTGAGCATTTCTCAACTTTCTGTGAGTTTACCTGAACAAATTCTATAAATTATCTCGCACACTAATTGTCATTTGAGAAAAGTGAAGGTGAAACGAATAATAATGAAGTCATAATACTGCTATTGTTAACAATACATAAATTAAACATTAATAATATGATAACAATGTAAGTGTCAATAAATTACATTAATTGCGTCTTCTTAATTATATCTTCTTAAAAACGTAACCATTTTACGAATTTGCTATCAAAACATACGTAGCGTCCATCTCTATCCGTCTTTATCACCGATAGATTGCAACAGGAAGAAATAGGACATTGTTGCATTCACGAACTATCAAGAAAATAAAATAATTAGAATTAGTTTAATATGCAAAAGATATGTGATTGTAAATACATATTTGTTAATATAAAGCTTTTTTAAATTAAAAAAAAAAATAAAATTAAGAAAAATTTAAAGAAATCAACTTTACGAATAAAATAATCTTCATATTTTGACGTTATTCGAATCAAAATTAGAATCTATTAATTCCTCGTTTCTTTATTCGTGTTTTGGGTAAATTCTATAATACATAGGTTCCATTTTAAAATAATTTTAATTTTTTTTATCAATTTTTTGTGTTTTTATTATCTCAAGCTTTAAATCTTCCATTTTCGTACAAATGGAACATGATATGAATATTATTTTTAAATCCATTAGTAGCGTTCGTAATATTGTAAAATTTCGTTAATATAAAGCTTTACTTATAATGAGCAATAATAAATCGTAAATAATATTGATTAATTTATTATCCTAATGTACAATAAAAAAACGTTTCATAGGCCTTTATATTAACAAAAAAACTTTATTTTTAAAACAGTGGCAGTGAATAAAGCTGAAAGTGACTTGAAAATCATCAACTTTTTTGCTCAGATAAATTCGGTCAATTATAATTTAAATACTTACATTGGTGAAAATGGTGATATTGACTGGAGAGTAAATTGCGTTTATGGTTATTGGCTTTTGCATCATAATCAGAATAACATTTGTTCTCACGTGATGATCGAGACTTGAATTAAACCATTCTCCAAAATAGATTCCATTACGAAAGTCTTCACTCTAAACATACATATTCCAATTAATCAATTTTGAGTTACGATAATTGATTTACACAAGATCATTGAAACTTACCGCATTTGTGAGAACAGTGCCATACCATGCATATGTAAATGTTTGCACAAATTTTACTACTGCGTATGTCAGAAACATGGATATGCGTTTAAAGTCCGAAAACTATTGCAAATGTTTAACGATTAATATTACAATAGCGAATATTTGGGTAATGCGATATTATTATTTAATGAAGTGAAAAACTTGCAAGTGCAGCATAGTCTTCGTTTCTATACTTTTAGAAATGGTGATAAAGTTATTAAAAAGCATTTTATTTTACTTTAATTATATTTAATAGGATTTGTAAGAAGACTATGACATATTTTTATCAAATATTTTCCAAAATATATTATCTAAAATAAAATTGAAAGGCATTTAATTTTATTCTGACGTTACATGAGCGTGACACGATGACACTAATTGTATGACCGTAATAATATTTATTATCTTAACTAATTACGATCGCGCATAACATAGTGAATTACGAAATTAAATATCGATTTTTACGTTAATATATTCACATACTGGCATCGCGTCGTACATTAACCCGCAAAGAAGTATGGCGTTGGTGACAATGTGCCAAAAGACAATGGGTCCATAGACATGCTCTAGCGTATCGCGACATCGCAGTAACCTTTGATGTTTCGCCACACACATCCTCAGTAAATCCAAGAACTTCTCGGTAGGTAGAGGATTTGTGAGCCTGAAGTTCATGGCGCGCATTGTCGAGGTAAACTGATAGACATAGAAGCCAAAGAAGCTGTCAACGCTGCACGCCATGAGACCGCTGAGTCCCGTTAGAGTCGTCTCGAAGACCAGATGTAGATGATACAAAAAGTTATCAGGAACGGTCCAGAAATGTCCGTATCCCCTACTGATTGGTAAAGTGTAGTTCGTAGATAAATGGAAGTGGAGGAGACCGCGGATTATGAGAAGATACGAGGGCGCAAAATATAATAAGAGCAATGTAGTTGTAAGAGCGAAATATCCATACGTCAGAATGTACATCGTATGTAGAGATGAAAATATTATTGTCCGGATTTTATCATTCCGCATAAGTTCCTCCTCGAAAAGACCATTCAGTATTCGATGGTAATTTATCAGAGAGCCGCGATTTATCGTGAAGCTTACCACCTTAAGAAGATAAGAAATTTATACTTTTTTCCTCCGCGCAAAACAGAGAAATTGCACAGATTGACATTAAGTACTACGATTTTAAATTTGTTACAGTCGAATTTCAATATATATGGCTTTACTGTTAACGAAATATCTATTAATCTTCTTTTTTGTACTGAAGATGACAAAAAGAGGATCGAAATGTCTAATTTAATGTAATTTATTTGTACTTTTTTTATTAATATTGTATATTTTACATTCATATCCTGTGTCGGTTCACATTGACTCATTGTGAGTTTTCGATTTAAAATATTAAGGTTAGTTATTAAAAAATTAATAGTTTACGAGATATTTTATACTTTATTATTCTGGCACATTTTATTAATTATAAAATGTACATCTTGTAACATATTCATTTTTTTCTTTATAACTTTACCTTAATACTTTTGCAGAATTAAATAAATCATATATTATACTTTAAAAATCATATAATTCTATTTAAAAAATGATGATGCCCTTTATATGAACTTGAAAAATCGATTCTTTCTCAAAATTTAATTTTTTAATTATTTATCCTCCTTCAGCAGATACAATTTTCGCCTATCATACTTTTTATTAAAATGTTTCCTTTTCAAGGTATTCAGGTCTCTCAAGTTAAATATGTACTATATTATATTGTAGTTAAATGTATATATTAATGTGTTAATATGTATTATGTATATGTGCATGTTTTTTCTAGATCGTATTATACCTTGAGAATAGCGCTAAGTCCAGTTATTGCAAAGCCTACGTTTTTCATCATATTCCCCAAATTATGCCTATGGATATAGCTCGTATGCAAGGTTACCATTGTCATCATGATCATCGTCAAGAGCACACAAATTGAGTAATAGTGCATGGATTTGTCTGATTTCGTGGGCATATACCAACAGCCACAGATGGTGAGCAGAATTCGAGTGAAACGTTGGTACGTGCGGTACGTTTGCAATCGTTTATCAATCATTTTCATACCTGCATTGAATATATAATTCAAAGAAATGAAAGGGAAGGCTTATAAATTAGAAAAATATAATATCCTAAATGCCAAAGAAATTTAAATTTTTGTAATTGATTTAAAAAATTCGTACAAAGAAAATTGAAATTTTTTTAATAAAATGAAATATCTTTGATTTTATATGTACCTAATAATGTATCTTCTTTATAAATATTGAATTTTCTTGTAACTTTAACGAAGATAACAATAATAATAATTACAATTAAATAATATCCAAAATATAATTGCTAACTTATCCAATAATGTTTTTAACGTATTATACGTAACATCTATCGAGAGCTCTGAAAAATTAATGGCTGATCTTAAAATGGCCAATTTAAAATGAGCTTAATTGAAATGAACTATAATCCAAGAAAGTTTAGATGAAATGAACTGTAATTCAGGTTTGATATCGACTATCCATAGACATATAAGAAAAATTGCATTTCTAAGAAAACGGCAAGATCGTGGGTTGCACTGCGAATTGCATCAGAATAGCATTATTTTTTCTGGTTTAATTTATTGGAAGTAAACAGATTTATGATTCTCTTTTCTTGTACATGCGCGGTAAAAAAAATACTATGTTATCGATCGTAATATTGTCGATATAGTTGTTAGCTGTTGTTTGCTATTATCTAGATAAAATTATCTAGGTGATCATGTAGATGAAGAAATAACTTCAGCTTCTCTTTATCTAGATTATTAGAATTCTATATATCTACATAGAAATTATTTATCACGACGAAATGTTTAAAAAACTTTTGTTTTAAAAAATAATGATTTATAAATAAGAATATAAATATATGTATAATATATAAATATGAATATATATTTTTTATGTTCTAAAGTTATATCCTAAATTATACTTAACAGTTAATGTTTAAAAATAATATTATTTTAAAATTATATAGATAAAAGGGCTTATAATTTCATCCTTTACCTAGAAGAGTTATTTGTGCTCAATATTTATCTTACTTGATATGTATTTTATATATATATATATAAAATATTGATATATATTTTTTTTAAATTTTATTAAATCAAGCAGTTTAAGAATCTTATTGAACATATATGCAGAATTGATCACTGTTGTTCCACAATTTTTCCTAATTTTTCTGTTAACTTACAAAAAATTAACGATTCTCTTTATTTATGAGATAAAGAAGGCTTCATGTGTCGATCGAAGGAATATTGTTAGCTATCAGTATTGATAACTTAGAAGGGAGTTACAGGTATATATTACACGAATTTGGAAAAGTTTAATATTAAAATATAAAGTTTGACGTTGTAAAAATAATATATAACATTCAGGTGCAAAGGGGTTGGAATTTATACCCTTCAGAAAATTTTAAAAATCTTCAAAAATCTTTAAAAAAAAATACAATAAAGAAGAGAAAATCTAAGAAATACAAAAAATATAAATTTGAACATTTTGAACTTTTGTTTAAAGTAAATTTAAACACACTCACGATTTTACAATTATTATTTTAAAGGAAAACTTTAAAATTATTGATATTTATTCTTTACAATTTTTAAGTTTTTCTTTAAAATAATAATCGTAAAATCGTGAATTTATTTAAATTTCAAGGCAAGCCCTCTTTATTTATAAGGAAGCTTGCCATCAAAAAATTATTTCATATAAACATGAATTAAAAAATTTCATAACATTATGCCTCTTATTCTATCCTGTATGAATCTTACTTACGAAAAAATGCAGCACCGCCGCGTCTATTTAGTGGCGGTATCAAGTACTGTTTGCGAATAAACTTTATGTTACCGTTACAGGCAGAAAAGTATAACAAACCATTACCGAAAAAAAGTAATGAAAACGATAACGACGTTACAAATAACACGATATTTCCTAGTCCTGCACTATTATATTAGTGTTATAATTAATGTGTTTTATTGTATATACATATAAAATACTTTTCTAATCTTGTCCGTTATATAAATGCAAGTTCTTTCTAGATCGTACCTTATATGGCGTCAAATCCAGTTATTAATTGCTTCGCTTAAGCTTCTCATTATATTCTCCAATTTAAATAATTAAAGATATAGCTTATATACAGCTTATCATGAGTACATGGTCGTCAAGAACACACTAACTGATATGTAATACATGGATTTGCCGGGTTTTGTGGACATGTACCAACAGCTATGGTTGGTGAGTAAAGTTCAAGGGATATGCTGATATACCTACGTGCGGTATGCATGCTTGCAACCTTTTATCAATTATTGTGATACCTACATTAAATATATTTAACGAGATGTTGAAAAGACTTCAAACTGGAAAAATTCAATTGTTTAAATATCAAAGAAATTAAAATTTTTATTGTTAATTTAAAATTCTCAACGCAAAGAAATTAAAATTTCTTTAACAAAAGGAAATACCTCTGATTTTCTATTTTCCCCAGGGTTGGTAAAAATTTTTAACGTGTTTTAAACTGTATAAAACATGCTCAATCGATATTTTGACATGTTTTAAACATGTTTTTTTTATAATACTTTAAAGCATGAAACATAAAAATATGTTTTATATATAAAAAAACATAATGTTTTGTTCTTTAAAAAAAGAATTATCTTTTGGCAATTCTGATTTTTCCAATATTATTTATACCTTCCTTATAAAATTAAATTTTCCTGTAATTTTAATAATGACAATAATAATAATCACAAAATTAAAAAATATTTAAAATTGAATGATATTTAAAGTGTAATTGACTGATCCAATAATATTAACGTTTTAAAACTGTGTTTATAGGAATGAAAAAAAGGAATAAATTTTTCAATTTTATTCTAACAATAAATCATTATCGATTTTTATCGTCGTGAAAATTTAAAATAATATATTTCAAACATTGATTTGTAAAAAAAAAATATTAAAGGAGGATAGGTAAATTTACCGGAATTTGAGCTAAATAGATTTGACCTTTCTTATGCATGTTTCCTTCAATTTTTTGATATAGAACTTTTCTTATATGTATTTTTCATATTTCTTTTATGTGCTGAATCATTTGCAAACATTAATTTTAAGCAGAGTAATGGGAAAGTATTGAAAATTACAATCAAAGATCAGATTTTGTCGAAATTGTACTACTTTTAATGCGATTTTTAACACGTTTCCGTGATCAGATTGAAATAAATGTTTGCAAATGATTCAGCACATGAAAAAATACAAAAAAAACATAAGAAAAGTTTCATCGTTCAATTCACAATCCGATTAATTTTACCTATCCTCCTTTCAAAGATTGTTACATTTTATATAAAAATTAAAAGAACCATCTATGTTGTAAATTGAAATTTGCAATCGCAACATCTACGAGTTCTAAGGACAATTTTTTTCTGTAAAAGACTTTGAACTAAGAAATATTCTTTAGAAATATTTGCCAATGTCTCCGATATGTTTGATACAACAATTTTACAACTAATGATACCAAGTCAGGAGAAGAAACTTTATCTTCTACCTCACCAAGTCAATTCCAAACTGTTTTAAAAAAATTGCATCTTGTATTGTCGTTACTTTGAACTATTATTTTATTGACTGTCATTCGTCTTATACGTATCTTCTATCAAGGCTTTGAAAAATTAATAGCTAATCTTATTATTATAGTCTATAATCTTATTATTGTAGTCTATATCATTCGATAGAATTTAGTTGAAACAGGCAATAATTCAGGTTTGTTATGACTATAGACAAACTACAGACATATAAGAAAGATTGCACTTCAAAGAGAATGCTAACACGTACCACGAAACTGCGTCAGAACTGTAAGCTATATCAAGATTAACATTATTTTTTCTTATTTAACTGATTAAAGGGAGATAGATTTACGATTCTCTTTTTTACGAAATGAAAAAA